CCCCCCCCCCTCCCTCGCCCCCCCCCCCCCCCGGCTGCTGGGGGCTGCCCTGCTCCCACATTCACCCCATCACTCCCTTTTACCCTCTTTGGCTTTATCTAAACAAATTTCCCACTAACAGGCACTAACCCACCGCGGCGAAAACCGATGGCTGCTGTGACCAGCGCAGGGATCGGCCACCGAAGCAGAAACTCTCGGGAAGCAGCAGCGTAACCCCATTTGGGTGAAACCCAGTTATCGGCAAAATTAAAACCAGGGGCGCTCGGAGACAGCACGGCCCAGCCACGGGGTCCCCCAGCACCCCTATTCCCCCCTCCCACTGCTCTGTCCCCTTCGCTCCCCGTGGGTCCTTTGGATATTTATCCTTTGGATATCCGTCCCTCGTCTATCCATCCCTCAGCTCACCAGGAGCATCCACGTCCCCGTCACGTCGCACCAAGAGCCCTACGGACCCCGCCACCTCAGCCCTGCGAGGACCATTTCTTTCACGAGACCCTTAAATAATAAGGTCGGGCACGGCGGCCGCCCGGCTGGGCTCCACGCGAGGCACAGGGGGAGGGAGAAACCTTGGCAAGGGCAGAGGAAAAGCCGTTGGAAAAAGCTCCGCGGATTTTATACTTAAACCACCCCATCTGCAGCCAGGCGCTGCCAGGAGCGGGCGGCAGCGTCCCCGTGGGTGTGCCAAGGGGACGGGGCACGCAGCACCTGGCCATTTTAATTACCGGCAGCTCTAAAATAAAAGTCAGTTTGCAGCACGGTTAGTCAGCGGCTGAACCGAAGCGCAGCACCGTACGTTTTTGGGGAGCAACGTTCAGAAAACCACTAACAGCTCGTTCTGTAATGGTGTTTGGGGTGGGGTTGGTTTTTTTTTAACCTTGTTTTTCCTAGATTTTTTTTTTCCTTCCCCACACCACACTGGGGGGACAGGACGGGGTTTTTTTCCCCTCAAAATTCCCCCGTTAAGTGGTCCCCACAGCTCCTGCGTCTTCTCCTGGGGCCGCTGCAGCGCTCACCTGCTTTTTATCCGAGATGTTCTGGCGTCTCAAAGGGAAAAAATCTTCGTCAGCCAAGACGCAGCCCCCCGAGCTGCCGTCCTCGCCCACCTTGGGCGCCCGCAGCCGCCCCGAACTCCTGCTGATGGGGTGTACCTGGGGAGGCCGCTCAGGGCAGGGCCGTGAGCAATCCCGTTAGAAAGCCAAACGGTTCCCTTCGGTGGCCACTGCCTCACCCTTGGAGCAGAGCCGCCTTTAAAACGGCCGAGCTGCTCACATCTCGGGATTATTTCTTAGCATCTCTCTAGGAAAAGCCGCTTCTTTTAAAGCAAGGAGAACTCGGGTAAAACCACGTCTGAGGAATGAGGAAGGGTGGTTATCACCCCAGAGCATTTGGGGGGGGGGGGGGGGGGAAAGGGCATGAGGACAACA